CCCGCAACTTGGCGGAAATCGGGCTGCGCTGTCATCGCGACCGTAAGAAAGACTCTAAAGTGGTGATAAAGGGTGGAAGTTCTAATAAGGCATCCTCACCTAACGGGTTATGCGTTTATCCACTTCACTAAATCACCTGCCTAGCAACGCCCCACTTCTCCCAAAGATGACAAAGGACCAGCCTTACGACGACCTATCCCCGCACGTCTACTTCCCGGCAGTACAGTGTCCTAAGACAACATTTAATTAATTTAAATTATCCACCCGCATTCACCAGCCTGGCAACAATGTGTTGGACCTGCATCAAGGAGCCCTGCTGCTCGCGTTGCGCAAAGCGCATCACGGTTCTCACCGAGCATATAAGCGATCGAGCCTACGCGTCCAGCCTAATAGTCTATGACATGGCATGCATCAACTCCACGAACGGGACCTGGGGGTCGTGCCCGGGCTTCACCGTCAGCAATAAATCATGGTGGCTAACGGAGTATATCTGGGCGCGCGACATCGCGCCTGTGAACGACATGTACATCTGCAAAGAATGCATCTACGACCACGCTATCAGAACCATGAACTAGAGGGTGCTGGGCGGAGTGTTGCCTGGTTCGAGGGTGTCGCCGCGAGGGTCGCAGATCATCGTCATCGAATATGCCAAGGCGCGCCCGGAGCTCTTCAGGAACTGGGCATGCTTTCCCGACGATGTCGAGATTTACGAATATTTGGATGGCACCAGGCATGTGGAGATATCTGATATGCTGGAGAAGCCGCCGGCGGGGCGCGGAATTGTGCCCCCGGACTACGTTTGTCCGTTTGTACTGATCCCAAATAACGAGGACTGGGAGGACCTGCAAAAGCGCCCCATCACGAGGCAGCTGTTGAACGCTTTACGAGACGCCGGATTCCTGGCGTCCTTTGAAAGCTGCCTTGCCGTGCTGGCAGGTCCGCAAGTGGATTGGGCTGCCGTTGAGGACCAGAGGAACCTGGAGGAAGCATTGGACTCTGGCGTTGTCGACACCACGCCTTCTACCACTGTGTCTCCCGGCTTTTACGGCCACGGCATCTTCGACCTTACATCTCCTATGACAAACGAATCCGGCATAGTCAATACTACATCTCCTGTGACGGAAGACTACGGCAATATTGAAACTACAGCTTTCGAAACAGGCGGCCAGGACATGGTTGACACTGTATCTCCAGACACACGTGGCGTTCGCGCCACGACTTCGATGCTCAATCAGTACATCGACTCTTGTCGAGTTCAAGTGAGCAATACGCCTGATTCATCTTCCTCGTCACCTCTGTCTTCCCCACATTCCTAGCCGGCACCACGGCGGGATGCCGAGGGCTGGATCGACTATGGTTTGCGGTAAAGGCACGTAGGAGCAGCGGGCGTTACTTGGTCCATTATAATGTATAGCTCCCGACATGCAGTCACCGATGTAGGTCTTAAAAAAAAAAAGCTTCGAGTATTATAATCACGTGAGACCAAGCGACTATGTGAGATTGACCATTGACGCATTTAGATGTCTATTTTGGCATGGTTTGCATCAGGAGCAGCATCCATCACCAGGCACCAGGACGCGGGCAGGATGGTCACGACTCGAAGCCCGCCGTGTTCTCTCTACACAAAGCCGAAGAATCCATCAAAAATGCTCAAAGACCGGGACTTGCCTTGAAGCAATGGCCAATGTGGCGCTCGCAATGCAACAACGTGGCGTTCAAGCGCGCGCGCGACGAAGCGTTCTGGTTTAATTTCGATCATGACGAGGTTATGCGTGACGTCATGTGACGAAGGGATGGATAGTAGCGTCAGGGGTCAGGGGTGAGGGCGCGTTTTCGACCAGAAAGTTTCTACAGCAAGGTAAGGTGTTCACCCAAGCTTGCCAAGCTACCGTGACAAGTGACCAGCGGCGCGTGTTTCCTCGTGCAGGAGAGGGAGATGCATGTTTCAATGGTTTGGCAGATGATGCAGGCGGGCCCCACGCATGCTGGCCTGTCACTCATCTGCTGGACTGAATCTTGTGTCAGACCATGTGCCCACATCTGCCTTCACCGCGCGCGCCTCTTCGAGATTCAAGATTGTGGACACTGCAGCCGCCAGGGACTATGGACTGTGCCAGTTGTCGTTGGCAACGAAAGGTTTCCTAAAGCAGTAAGGAACTGACTCGAACAAAAAAAAAAACAGGCAAGGAGCCTCTTGTCCCACGTAAATAGGTAACACTGCGATTCAAAGTCTGGAGAGGGTGGGTTTCGGCAGGTCACCCGGCGTGGGTGAACCGTGATCTCGGCGCGGAATTGTTGGGGGTGGAATTGGGATTTTGGGGAGGGCCCACGGCCCACTGTACCGGGCCCTCAGCACCCAGGACAACACAGCGCACGCAAATCAGAGACATGCATCTGGGTGGCCAAGACTGGGGGGGGCCCAAGAGGAACCGGGGCGGCACTGGATGGAGGCAACTGGATGTAGGACGCGTCCATCGCGCCCGCTGAGCTGTTCAGTTCACGAGAAAATGCAATGACGGGATGCAACACCGATTACCAGAACCGACCGCCGATGGAGACAGCTCTACGAAGCGAACACAGGCTAGCGCCAATGCGGCTTCACGGTGCAGGCGTCGGATGGGGTCGGGGCTGGCCAGCGCTGGCCGGGCCTAGAACGCTGCGCTCGAGGAGCTGTCAGAAAGGAGAGATAAAGTGGGAGGCCGATGTTTCGCACGTGGCTAGGCTTGTCAGCGATTGTCGATGGTCGGTCGATGTGATGATCCCGTCCCTGTCGTCCGCGGAACCTACTTGCTGGGGGCTGCGAGGACACAGAGAGAGATAGACTGGCCCCCAAACAACGATGAACGGATTCGTCAGCGAGAGGGGGATGAGGTCACTTGACGCTCAGCCTCGGAGCGACGCAGGCCAAGGCGCACGCGCGACGGGGACGTGAAGTGCGGTATGTGGCGTCTGTCGGAGCGGTCGGCCCCTCCCCCCTTCTGCCCATGTTACAGATCGGTGCAGCCGGGCATCAGTCAGTCAGTTTTTGTTGTTACGATCGTGGAGCGAAAGAAAGTGCAGTGCAGTGCATCCGCTCGTTGCTTTGGGTATGTCCTTAGCTTTGCGTTGGCGGGACTGGATGGGCTGGAATACGACGACAAGAAACGGGGTCCCCTCGTCCTCTCTTTCGTCCTCACTCACTCTCTCTCTCTCTCTCTCTCTCTCTGTCTGCACAGCACGCAGCACAGAGACTGGTCGACATGAGAGCGGGCGAAGCGGATCATGCAGGTAAAATGACGGGGGACCCTGAATCTGCAGGAATGACGCTGCTCGCTACGTCATGATGGAGAAAACCCCTCCAACCAAGACAGCCCAAGGTGGGGTGCGAGCCGATGGCCGCGGCGAGCAGCAGGTAAAAAGGACGAGCGAAAAGGTGCGCCTTTTCATGGCTCGCTTGGTCACGGATGGCCCTGTGCGGCGTGGCATATGACTTGCCGCCTGCTTCCGGCGTTGTTGCATCTTTTTTGGTATGCCTCTGAATGAGGAATGACAGTAAGGCAGGTTGGGTGATTTGGATCGACTTGATGGAGCCCGGGGCAGAGATGGCGCCTCGCCAGTGATGATGCCTGCTGAAGCACCAAAAGGCAAAGACAAGGCCATGGGGCCTATCGGCTACGTCAGGTGTTGGGCACTGACATGATGATGGGAGCGATGATGAAACAAGCGGGCTGAAAGCATGGCTTGGAAAGATTGGTGTCCTGGTCCAGTAACTCGCGTTTCTTGGCGGCAGCACGGCTTCGTTCAATCGTTCAAGCCACAGGACCATGCCCATCTCGGGCAACCCCCCAGACATTCCACCAGACCAGCCACCCTAGGCCTCCACCCCCCTGCCCCATTCCATTTTCTGTCATATCGCCAATGACTTACCTGGCAGAGCGTAGGATCAATGTCACAGCATCTTGGGTCGCATGGCTCAGAACCAGATTGGAGGCTATTTACGCTTTTTGGGTACTGACAGAGAGACGCCTTGCCCCTGTAGGTCCCTGGCAGGCCTGGGTAGGTGCCTGCCTCAAGGCACCGACCTCCCTAGGTAAGTGAAGGTCAAGGAACGTATCCCAGCTCGGTGGCCGCCCTGACCACGCAGCGGCGTGCGCAGCTTGTCGTCCGCTCGAGCAGATCTTGCTTCGTCTCACCCGCTGCCCGCTCGTCATCTGCATCCACCACGACCCGAGAAACACTGAACGAGAGCCTCGATTCATCTTGGCCTCCGGGATTCCCTGATTGATGGACTGCCACCTGAAATTACCGTGTCCGAGGTAGTCTACGTATCCATGCGTTCTCACTCATGTGTGCTGCTGCGTAAAGAAACACTGAAGGCCCCCCCCCACAAATGAAGTCACCCCACCGCGAGGGACTCCCTGGAGCACACTCACAGCCCATGCGTCACTGGCCTTGCCCTGTACCTACCTTCAGTCCGCCTATTTCGTCATCCGTTCGGCTGGCCCGCCCGCCATCGCATCCGCGATTCAACTCCACTTCGACCCTCACCAGCCACAGCCGTCCTTGACTCTTGCACTTTGTATTCTATCCTCTCGTCTCCTCCCCCCGACTCGTACCTCTCCCCTCACTGTCCCTCTCTGATCGCCTATCCCACATTAACCTCTCTCGTCCGTCCCGAACCGACTCGTTCTCGCCGTGCCATTTCTGACCTCCGATCAGTCGCTTCACTGCATTGTCGCCTCATTGCGCCCCAACATTCTTGTCTTTGTTCGAGACAACTTGTTTCTTCCTTCTTCGCAGCCCCTCCAGAACACGCGAGACGTGAAAACCCAAGCAGCGCCGCGGTGCCCTGTCGCAGCCGTCCATCAGGCATCGCAATCGCAGCGTCCCTCCTGGCGACCGAGTACGACGACTTCTCCTGATCCCGCGAGTACAGCCTTTTACAGGCGCACAAACCGCCATCATGTCGACGATACAACAACTTAAGAACTTCATCCGACATGGTATGCCGTCTTCCGCCAAACCGTCCCGTCCTCCCCCTTCCCCCCTCCCCCCCTTCTCCCCTCTTCCCCGCTCTCTACATATTTTGGGCGATGAGCAACCACGACGACAGCAGATCCGGGCTCCACGCGCCACAGAGTCCTGCCCACCATGTCATTTGTCTCAACCATCATTCTTGTGGAACTGTACTGATCCGTTCTCCCTTCTCTTCTCGTCCACAGGAAAGCAAGCCCGCACGAATAATTACGATGAGGCCCAACAGAAGAACAACTCCTCCCCCCCACGAGTTCCCGCCGCGCCCGCCCAGACCGAACCCGGCTTCACTGCCCAACCAGCACACGCCCCCATGGCCGACGCGTACTCTGTAGGACCCGCCGGCGACCAGAACCGCGCCGCCAAAGCCGGTCACGCCGCAGCGCACGCCGTCGAGCCCCAGCAGAAGGTCAAGGTCAAGAAGCAGGTCGACAGTGCCGAGATCGCCAAGTTGGTCGCTGAGGAAAACGAGACCCGCGGCAAGTTCCCCAAGTACCCCGGACTGGAGCGATGGGTTCTCCTCGAGAAGATGGGCGACGGCGCCTTCAGCAATGTCTACCGAGCCCGCGACACCACGGGTGAGCACGGCGAGGTCGGCATCAAGGTCGTCCGCAAGTACGAAATGAACAGCATGCAGGTGAGTTTGAAAATGTTGAAGGTTGCCTGCGGGGCCTTGATGATTTGCTTTCTTGCGCGCCGTGTCGTCTTGAGTTTGTTGTTGTGCGTTTCTTCTTCTTCTTCACATACCAACCTTGGGGGCGCAATTAGGGAAACGACCATTTACACCCAGACTTCAAGAAAGTCCCCAAAGCTGCAGAGGTGCGAGAAAATCTCTCTTATCTCCTTACGTTTCTTTCCATCGAGCGAGGCATCCCCACCATGACTACTGTTGCTTTGACCCAGCCTGTCATTCTTTCTTTTCCTTTTCTCCCGGGGATGCCTCCAAGGCCACGAATAGCAAGACTGACCCGACGAACAGAGGGCGAATATCCTCAAGGAAGTCCAGATCATGCGCCAACTTGACCACCCCAACATTATCAAGCTCATCGACTTTTCCGAGTCCCGCCAGTATTACTACATCATCCTCGAGCTAGCCCCGGGTGGCGAACTCTTCCATCAGATTGTCCGCCTCACCTACTTCAGCGAAGAGCTCTCAAGGCATGTCATCGTGCAGGTTGCCAAGGCGCTCGAGTATCTCCACGAGGAACGAGGTGTTGTTCACAGGTATGTACTTTCGTGCTCATCACACGCGATTCTCCACATTCTTCCCAGCGCATCGCGCCCTCTTTGCCACGTTGTTGCTCCGTGGCGAGGCCACGAGTGGGACGTCACGTTCTAGTTCTCTGCTTGCATCTGACGTCATGACCAATCCCCTGCGTCGATGGTGTGCTGACATGAGCTCAATCGCAGGGATATCAAGCCTGAGAATATTCTGTTTGACCCAGTGTCGTTCATTCCGTCCAAGACCCCCAAGCCCAAGCAGCCCGGTGACGAAGACAAGGTGGACGAGGGCGAGTTCGTTCCCGGCTATGGCGCTGGCGGCATTGGCCGCATCAAGATTGCCGACTTTGGCCTCTCCAAGGTTGTGTGGGACACCCAGACCATGACGCCTTGCGGCACCGTCGGCTACACCGCGCCAGAGATCGTCAAGGATGAGCGATACTCCAAGTCTGTGGACATGTGGGCCCTCGGCTGTGTCCTGTACACGCTGCTCTGCGGTTTCCCCCCTTTCTACGACGAGAGCATCGAGGTGTTGACCGAGAAGGTGGCCAAGGGACAGTTCACGTTCCTGTCACCGTGGTGGGATGATATCTCGAAGAGCGCACAAGATCTCATTTCCCATCTTCTGGCCGTGGATCCCGAGAAGAGGTTCACCATAACCGAGTTCCTCGCTCACCCCTGGATCCGCGGATCCGGACCCACGCCGCGCGATGAGCGACCGCCGAGCGTCGAGCCGCTTCGTGCTTTCGACCCGTCACGCTTCGGCGAGGGCGCTCAGCGCTACGACTTCCGCTCACCCGGCGCCGTCAACCTGCGCGAGGTCTTTGATGTCGGTTACGCCGTCCACAGGCAAGAGGAAGAGGCGAAGCGACGCAAGCAGATGGGAGTCAAGGCGGGCGAGGCGCCTGCTCTAGCCGGCTTGAACGAAGAATCCGAAGACGAGGACAGCCAAATGACCGACGCCAAGGACGCCGAATACGTCCACAAGCCCACGCAGGGCACACAGGCGCTCGAGCAGAGCATGCGAAACGCCCACATCAGGGACCAGAAGGAGAGGGAGCGCGGTCGCGAGCGTGAGAGGCACGCTCCGACCGAGAAGGGATACGGCCAGCACTCGCCGGCTGTGACGGCGGCTGCTCGCCAGCAGGTGCGGGATCGCAACCGACAGAAGGGCGCTTTCGAGTTGAACCTCGACGGCGCGACATTGCTCGGACGCCGTGCGAAGCATCCTCTGGCTGAGGTTACCGGAGCATAGATTGTTCGATCCCGTTCACAGAGATAGGCCCCCTAGGTCAAGTCGAAGGCCGTGACGGTGAAGAGATATGCAGAGCAAGCCTAGATGGAGAGGATACGAATCAGTCTAGATTTGTGGGCGTTCGGGGAGGTGTGGTTCGGTGTGAAGCGGCCTACGTTGGTCAAGATCAGCAGTGTCTCGTCGACAACAGGTCCAGGAGGATATTGCGCAACTCTAGGCTCGACGGGCAACGCACTACGGCGGTGGGATGATTCAGGGTGCACAAACTACGTGGTCATGGAGCGGTTTCTTGTTTTGCTATTTCCTGCTGGTCATTCGTTTGTCGTTTCTTCTCCTTTTCGCGCCGCTTATCGATTTCCACTCTAGCACTAAGATTAGGCCGAGCTTCGTCGGCTCATGCTGCGGTCGAGCAGTGGCGAGGTCGCCTGGGACTATGCATCCATCGCGAGGAGTTATGGTAACTTAGGAAACAGATTCCATTTCTTCCATGTTTGCTTGTTCCGTGTACGCGCCATCTGATGTTGTCATGTGAGATTGGGCTGTTGCAAGCCAAGAGTGCCTGAGCTGAGGGACCTCAGGGGCGCTGTGCCTAAAAGCGGACCGATTGACAGCGCCCAGCCACTGGTCTGGTCCGGTGGGTGTACAAGAGTGAGTGAGAGAGAGACAGGTCCGGCCTCTGTGTCTTGAAGGAGATGTGAGACTTTTGCTTGCTGCACATGCATGCATGGGGGCATTTCCAATGTTAAGGATGCCCAACGACCGACACGAGAGTGCGTGTGCCCGTCAGTCTGTCTGTCTGAGCACACACGCGCGTGCTGGCCCTCCCTTTCGACCCCCCCTCCCCCCCCGGTCTTTGCTTGTTCAGGCGGGCCCTGCTCTCTGTGTTCACGCCCTGCTCGCGTTGTGTTCGTGCGCGTTGTTTCCCCACAAAATGGCCGCCCCTGACAGCAGAGACATGGCCGATGCAAGGGCGTCGGAGGGGTTTGGTCGGTTCATGGGACGCTCTACTTGATGGGGTCTTGGGCGGTCTTGGGTCGAGCGGGTGAGACAGGGTTTTGGGTCTGCAGTTTTGGGTCTGCAATTTGATGAGGGTCGGGGCTGGACGGCGGATGAACAATCTCTCGATTTGTATTTTTCTTCCTTTCTTTCTTTTCTCTCTCTCTCTCTCTCTCTCTCTCTCTCTCTCCTTTCTTGCCTCGGACTCGCGAGGGGAATACCACGTCAAATTTCCTACGATCCGATCGAGAAGGGGGGGAATTGCAATCGGCAGGACGATGAGTGGAGAGTTTCTGGTTTCGATTGCGCGCTGATATTGCGAGGTTCGCGTGACGCTCGCCTTCTACGTAACCTGATGACGACGGGGGGGGGGGGGGGGCAGGCCCCATTTCTGAGGGGACCCCCGGACTCCGGTAGCTTTGTCCGGCCGTCCGGGATCTTCGGCGCCAGGCCGGGAATGGGGCCAGGGGAGGCAGCACAGACCGAACTAGTCCCTCTTCTTTTCCCTCCCTGGGCTGAAAGCACGCTAGGAAAAATATGGGAGGAGGCTCTCTGGCCCTGTGTCTCACGGCGCCGAGTCAGGTCCCCTGCACGGGCGAACGTCGCTGTCTGTCCCGTGTTGACGGTTGATGATACGGCGGGTCATCTATTTTGCTTTTTTTTTCTTCTTCTCCTTTTGATGTCCTCTCTCCATTGGCCTGACACTCGTCGAGCCAAGGGAGGCGACCGCCAGAATAGCCACCAGCAGCAGGCGGACCTGACCAGGGGCCCCTCACTGCCGAGGCGAAGCGATACGTGCATGTCTGTGGCTGAGAGGCCCTGTCGGTCGGTATCTGTCAACTGTCTTGCACGGGCGTTGCGGTGGGCCGGGCTTTGCGTCTGGGCTGAGAAGTGCCGGCGTTGAGAGGGTTCCACCCCTTGATCGGCAGTCCGTGAGAGAGAGAGAGAGAGAGAGAGAGAGAGAGAGATTCCGAATGTGGCTTGGTGGGGTGTACCGCCTGGGGGGCCTTGTGAGGACGAAAAGGGACGTCTGGAGTGGCTCGATATGCTTAACTGGGGTGATTTTGGTGGATTGGTTTTCAAGATTGGGGCTCGTAATGACACACTCTGTTGGGTTATTGGCATGGCGACTTTCCTTCTGTCTTGAACAGCCTTGCCTGGCCTGTTTGCGCCCAGTGCTCTTGGGCCCTGCGCTGCGGGGCTTCAAGGCTCCGTCGAGGCGGCGGACGGGTGGGCGGCTTTCGTGAAAGTCGTATGCCGGGAGATCATGACGAGAGACATCGTGGCCCCCCGTCCCCCCTTTTCTGGTGAGAAGGGAGGAAGGTTTCTGTTTCGGCGCAGGGCGTTGGGACGGAAGGCCTGATGGTTCACCTGAGCTTGCCAGATTGTCTTCTGAGACCTGCGCAGGAGCCTCAGGGGCGGCATGGCATCCGAGTCACGTTGAGAGCAGCATGGCAAGAGGCGACGCATAGAGGGGAAACACACATGTGAAGTTGCAGGCAGGCGATCGTCACATCGGATTTCTTATAAAATACCATCCATCCCATCCTGTCGTCAGCAGACTTTTCCTCTCTCCTCATCCAGCATCAGCTTCATCACAGCAAGAACTTTTTCTCGCATCCAGTCGTTTACCGCACATACAAACAGTCACTCGCTTCATACACAAGACTCACCTTCTTCGGAACATACTATCCCGCCTAATCAGCCAACCTAATCAACGCTCACCCAACCAACCGACAAAATGTCTCTCGCTCCCATCCTCGCTGCTCGCGGTGTCGAGTCCTTCCCCGGCACCTGCAAGATTGACATCTCGGCCAAGATCGAGGGCTGCGGCGCCGGTGTGGAGATCATCATTGGCGGCGGCAACTACCACGTCGAGCCCAAGCCCGACTACATCTGCATCACCCCCACCAAGCCCGGTGAGGGCGATGGCGGCGTCCCTCCCGTCGTCAAGCCTCCCGTTGTCAAGCCCCCCACCGTCCCCACGGTCCCCGTCGTGCCTACTGCCCCCACGGTGCCTACCGTTCCCGTTGTTCCCACCTACCCCGTCGTCCCCACGGCCCCGACTGTCCCGACCGCGCCTACCGTGCCCACTGTCCCCACTGTGCCTACTACCCCCGGCGGTGGCAACAACGGCGGCTACCCCGAGGGCGGCAACAACGGTGGCTACCCTGAGGGCGGTAACAACGGTGGTGACAACGGCGGCGACAATGGTGGTGACAACGGTGGTGACAACGGTGGTGACAACGGCGGCGAGCAGCCCGAGGTCTGCCGCAAGCCCACTCTCTCCCTGAACCTTCTCGACCTCGTCGACCTAGACCTCTTCACTGGCGAGGACATCACTGTGCTCGCCGACATCCTCGGCCTCGACCTCAACCTCCTCATCGGCGGCACTCTCGGCGACGCTCTCGGCGGCCTCGTCGACGACCTCGGCAAGACCCTCGGCAACCTTCTCGGCGGCCTGCTCGGCAGCAAGAAGGACAGCAAGGACGCCGACGCCGCCCGCGAGAGCGTCCGCTCCGACTTTGACCGCCAGTTCGACGTCAAGTGCGGCCAGACCATCCAGAACCCCGACGCCACCGAGACCACCGCCGACGACCTCAACGACTGCCTGGCCCGCTGCGAGGCCGAGGCCCTCCAGCTGACCATTGACCTCGGCGAGATCTACGACTGCGCCGGCGTCTCCCTGAAGCGCGGCGTCGAGGTCGACAACTGCCTCTTCATCGCCGACAACAAGATCCTCGACCTCGACCTCAACCTCGGCACCGACCCCAGCGCTGACTCCCTCCTCAGCGGCCTCCTCGGTTAAGAAGGGGGAGCTTCTGCTTTGGGCCCGCCTTTTTTTTCGTTTCGTGGCATGACACATAATAAAAAGAGACAGAAACTGACAGAGAGAGAGAGAGGAAATGATTACCTGGCCTCGGCACCTTGCGGGGCTGGATGAACGACAATGACTTGGCTGGGCTGCCTGATGGACCAGCATCTCTGATTCTTGCACGAACAATTTCTTCTCCGGGGACGTGGGTTGGTGGACATAGGAGACCCTGTACAGACATCTTCCATATGTGACATAGATTAGGGACATAATTGAACATGCCGCCTCTGAACTTGATTGCTTGTCATGTGATATTGTCATTTCAAATCTATTTAGGGCTTTTCACCTTGGGTGTCCTACTAAAGGTGGTCAGCATGTGAAGGCCTGAGGAGCATCGTCCGCACACGCTGTTTGCGATAGGCCAACCACGACATTGAGGGTATTTCAGTGAACTATACTTAGACAATGGATCACATATGTCTATTTTAAGCATGCTGAGGGAGGGAACTAAATAAAGATTCTATATATGAACGCCGGGCCTAAAGGCCGCCAAGCCTCCACAGCGAGAGCCTTATCCAAGTTCTACGGTGAGAGCCTGATCCAAGGCTTCGCCCGCATCACCTTGCACCAATGATGCACATTTACGTGTGAATAGGTGCATTAGTTCAATATACACGAGGTGACACAGGCTTGACGTCGCTGGAGCCTGGTTGCGTTCCCAGCCATGTTTCTCCCCTATAAAGCCACAAAGAGCCTTCCTCTTCAATAGACGATGGCATGCTCCAGTTGCTGACTCTAACTTGCCCAGACCCCACCGATCTCTTTGCCGCTGTCTCGACAAGCACCACGAATACCATATCTAAGCAATAAAAATCGCCTCAGAAGGCCCTCTGCACGATGACATCCCCTAAGGCTCTCGATAGCACCGACTCCTACACGATCGCCTGGATCTCTGCCTTGTCGATCGAACGGGCTGCCGCAGAGATCATGCTCGACGAGACTCATGTCCCTCCGATCAACTTCACCAAGCACCAGACCGACCATAACATCTATACATGGGGTCGGCTGGGAGAGCACAACGTTGTCATTGCCTCACTCGAAGCCGGGTCATACGGGACTTCAATGGCGGCGAAGACTGCCTCGAGCCTCCTTGCGTCTCTACCGTCCATCCGCATTGGCCTCTTAGTGGGAATAGGCGGCGGTATTGCTCGACCAACGGACAATAACCAAGACATCCGCTTGGGCGACATTGTGGTCAGCCAGCCGGATGGGACAACGGGTGGTGTATGCCAGTACGACCTGATCAAGGCAAAGACTGACGGCAAGCGCGAACGCAAAGGCATCCTCGGAAAGCCTCCGACAGTGCTACTCAATGCGCTTTTCAAGATCCAGGCAGTGCACGAGCGCGAGGACTCCAAGGTTTCTTACTATCTACAAAACATGCTGGAGAAGTACCCCAAGATGGGCAAGAAGTCTAACAGAAACCCTGGCTATGCTCATCAAGGCTCCGAGAACGACCGGCTGTTCCAGGCCTCCTGCGCCCATACATCTGGGTCGGACTGTCGGGATTGCGATCAAACTGGCGAGGTTCCACGAGACACTCGCGACACGACAGATCCCGAGATCTACTACGGCATCATTGCATCAGGTAACACTCTTGTCAAAGATGCGGCAGAGCGCGACCGGATCGTTGATGACGTTGGCGAAAACTGCCTCTGCTTCGAGATGGAAGCGGCTGGCCTGATGAATTCGTTCCCCTGTCTTGTGATCCGGGGCATCTGTGATTACGCGGATGCTCACAAGAACGACCAGTGGCAACGGTACGCATCAGCCACTGCCGCTGCATATGCCAAGGAGCTCCTCGCCTATGTCCCGGCCGTCGAGGTTCAGGAGACCAAGCGGGCGCTGGAAGTGATGGAGTCGGGTTAGTCCACCACTTTACCATATTGTAGAGATTAGCCTGCAAGATTTCATGAACTCGAATATCCTTTGACGATTCCTAGTTGACCAAAAACTCGACCTCGTGGGGCATACGATGAACGCGACAAAGACAAAGATTGACAATATTGAATCCAGCACTCACACCGACAAGATAGAGCGATGGCTGCGCCCGCCCGACCCATCCATAAACTTCAACGAGGCGAAAAAGGTCCGACAGGAAGGGGCCGGCGCGTGGCTCCTGGACCATCCCGTTTTCCAGTCATGGACCTCGGGGTCGCGCCGGCATCTATGGCTACATGGCTTGTCAGGATCTGGCAAGACAGTTCTGAGCACGACAGTGCTGGACCACATCGCCAAAGAGAACGACCGGCTTCTCATCAGATTCTTCTTCGACTTCGGCGACAAGACGAAGCAGAGCGTAGACGGCATGCTACGGTCGCTCGCCTTCCAGCTCTATCAGAGTGAGGCAGGATCGTCGGTTCTCGACGCGTCATTCCAGACACACAAGGATGGTCACCAACAGCCTGCTACGAAGATACTCGAGGACGTTGTGACCAAGATGCTCAGAGTCAAGAAAAAGGTCTTTATTGTTCTCGACGCATTGGATGAGTCGACAACAAGGAGTGATCTTCTCTTATGGATCAAGGCCATCACTTCTGGATCAGACCTGGGTCACGTCCAGCTGATTTGCACAAGTCGGCCTGAAGCCGAGTTTCTGCGGGAGATCCCCGAGATAATAGGCAGCAATAACAAGCTGCCGTTAGATAAACAAGCCGTGGACGGCGATATTGATTCCTACGTCTCAGCTGAGCTCTCCCTTCGACGGGAATTCCTCGACATGCGGTTGTCGGATGATCTTCTTAGTCGGATACGGAGCAAAGTTGGCGGCGGAGCCGATGGCATGTGCGTATCTACTTTGACCTCTGTCTGGAATGAGCACTGACCCCCTCGCTAGGTTTAGATGGGCAGCCTGTCAGTTGGAAAGTCTTGCGAGCTGTCGAAATCTCACGGCACTCAAAAACGCGCTCGATCATTTACCCCGTACTCTAAAAGAAACGTACGAACGTATGCTACACGGTATTCCGGAAGGAGAAAGGAATAGCGCCATCCGCCTTTTGCAGTTTCTGGTCTATTCTTCACGGCCCCTGACGGTAATGGAGGCAGTGGATATCATGGCGACGGACACAGAAGCGGCGCCACCATGTTTTACTGTCGAGGGTCGGGTTTTCCGAGACGATCATGTCCTCCAGTCCGTACCCGGCTTGATCTCCCTTGTGGAGGTCACGAAATACAACGGCAACATAAGGAGGGAACTACATCTTGCCCATTTCTCTGTCAAAGAGTTCCTTCTCGATCAAGGCGAATTCGATCGACTGACAGCCAGCGTTATCATCACAAAGACGTGTCTGACTTATCTCACAGACGTTACGGGCAACCACAAAGATATTGAGCAAGATTTTCATTTAGCTCAGCTAGCCGCACATATGTGGACAGAGCATGGTGCTTTGGCCGAGAGTTGTGAAGAAATACTCCACGCAATATTGAGGTTCTTCAATGACGATGAGACTTTTGTTTATTGGAGTCACTTAAAGGAGGCCGATCATCAGAGACGTTTCTTCCAGCCGCAAGGAGAAATGAGACTCTACCACGCTTGTGATAACGGACTACTCAGGGTGGCACGAGAGTTGATTGACCAAGGGGCGGACGCTAACTCAAAGATCAATATTTCCAGCGGAGTCCTACAGGCCGCCTCTTATAGAGGCTATATCGAAGTTATACAGCTCCTCTTAGAGAAGGGGGCAGATGTTAATGCCCAGGGCGGCTATTACGGTAACGCTCTACAGGTCGCCTTACTCGAAGGCCGTATCGAAGTTATACAGCTCCTCTTAGAGAAGGGGGCAGATATTAATACCCAGAGCGGCTTTTACGGTAACGCTCTATAGGCCGCCTCTTATAGAGGCTATATCGAGACTATACAGCTCCTCTTAGAGAAGGGGGCAGATATTAATGCCCAGGGCGGC